CGTCTATCTAAGAGTACCCTTTCATCGAACCAAATACTCAAGTTTTCTCCCACTCGCCTCGCACATCAAGAATGGCTACTTGGAACTCTTATAGAGGTAGTATTGTCATTGGAGAAATCTAGAAGCTAGTTTAAAACTTTAGTAAGGTTTTCCATACTTTTCTTTAACATAGAGACGTGAAAAACGAGGTGAATTCTACTGCTTGGATGGCAAGTCCAATTTATAAGCCACCTACCTAATTTTGCCTTAAATGGTCCATAAAAACAAGTAGCAAGCTTTTGAGAAGACTTGATAGCAACAACACTTTAACTATACGATTGAAGCTCGAAATGGACCCAATCACCTTGTACACACTCCCTTTCCACCCTTTTCGATCATACACTTGCTTCACCCTATTTTGAGCTCCTAACTAACATTTCTTGAGCTCTTTAAGAACTTCATCATGTTGAAGTAAGGACTCCTCTACGACTCGAACTTTGACAATTCTCAATACATCGGAGAGAAGGGTTAGTGGGGGTCGACCATAAAGGACTTTAAAAAGAGTCGGTAGAGTGGATGAATGAAGGCTAATGTTATACCAATACTCAGTCCAAGCAATCCATTTGGTCTATTCCCTAGGCTTGACATTAATGAAACAAGGAGATACATCTCAACGATACGATTGACTACTTTCATTTTAGTAGTTAGTCTGCGAGTGGTATGCAAAACTAAAGTTAAAATATGTACTTTAAAGATTGAACAACTCTTTTCAAAAGGCACTAGTAGATGTGGGATCTTTGTCATAGAAAATGGATTATGGCATGCCATGAAGTTTGAACACATTATCAAAGAAAATTTATACAATACCGGATGCAGTATATGGGTTTAAGAGAGGGATGAAGTGGGCATACTTGGAAATTTTATCGACAACCACCAATAGAACAGCTTTTTCTTTAGAAGTTGGAAGGTCTTCAATGAAGTTAATTGAAATATCAGCCCAAACTTGGAAGGGTATGGGCAAAGATTGTAATAGACTTCGTTGGTTTCTATAACTCGGACTTGTGATGCTAACATACATCACATTCTCGAATGAACCGATAAAGTCCTTCTTTGATTTTTTATCCGGTAGAACACCACCCTTAACTTGTGTAAGATCTTGTGGTATCTTTCATGACCGTTACCATGGATTTTTTATAACAAGATCCAAATCAAAACAAAATCTAAAAGGTTACACGGATGCCGGTTCTAAACGGATAAGGATGATTCCGGATCGCAATCATGTTTTGTGTTTTACCTTAATGGTGGTACTTATTAGCTAGAAGAGTTCAAAGCAAGAGACGAGTAATCGATTCTATAATAGAAGTCGAGTATATAGCTACTTCGGATGTAGTTAAGAAGGGAGTTTGGATCAAGAAGTTCATTACTAAACTTGGTTTTGTTCCTAGTATTGCGAACCCGATTGACCTCTATTATGACAATAATAGAGTTATTGCGTAAGCTAAAGAACCTAGATCTTATCCGTGATCCAAATAGATACTTTCATACTTTCATCTCATTCGAGAAATAATCAAGAGATGAGATGTGAAGATATGTAAAGTATTAACGGATGATAATATTGCGGACCCCTAACAAAACCTTTGACATAACGAAGCATAATAGCCATATTAGATCACTAGGTATTAGATACATGGGTGATTAGCTCTAGTGCAAGTAAAAGATTGTAAGTGTATGCCCTTCATCATAGTTTGATTGTACTAGTATATACTTATCATGTTGTTATAATATATATGAGGCTTTTCATTTATTATGTTTATTTATTTTTATATTTTATTAAATGAATATGATAAAGTCTCAAGAATATTAATATTCTTAAATGTCCCCAATCAAGTGTTTTATATATATATATATATATATATATATATATATATATATATATATATATATATATATATATATATTAAATGAGCAATAATAAAACGTTAAGACTGATATGTGTATTGATCGATAACAATATGTTATGAATATAAGATATTAAGTCGACGCATGGGTACATGTTGGAGAACATGTACTAGACTAACCCACCATAAGATCACTACATAGATCGTTATATGAGTGTCATAAATTAGTCTCATTATGATTGTGGTATACGTGGTCCTTCGACTTAAAGTCATCGTGGTTCCCTATATGAAAAGTAGTATATTTTGATATCATCAAATGTCATATGTAACGGAATGAACTACAAAGTTAGTTGTTGGATTTATCATGAATTATGTAGAGGGAAGTGAGTGATGTAGATAGGATTTATCCCTCCTATCTAACAAAAGCGATGTCTATGGGTTCCTTGATTGAGTGATATTGTAAAATACATGGCCATGCTCAAATGAATCTTATATGAGATGTCGATTATATTTTTTGAAGCGATCAACTCATGGATCAACAAATGCTAAGATTAAACTATATGAGGATGATACATTCTTTGTCTCATGTTTAATCTAGACATCTAAGACAAATGGATTAGACTACATGGTAACATGTATTACGGATAAGGTTATGTCAAATCATCGATATTCTTATTACTTGGGTAGTAGTGATGCGTGGCTAGATACTCGCTCACTATTTGTGATTCCAAATTATGATTTTAAGATTACTACCAACATAATAAGAACCTATAGGGTTATGCACAAAGACCAACTCAAAATTTGAGTATGATGAGAAGTTTTAATTGGATTAGGATTCTTAGTGAGGTTAAGATTTCTAATTGAATTACGATTCCTAATTAGATTAGGATTTCTTATTAGGTTAAGATTCCCAGTAAGATTAGGATATGTTATGGATTATAGTATTTAATTATACTAATGGGCCGATTCGATTAAGACATATAAAATGAGCTTAATAAAGTCTAAGTACAAGGTTGTTGGACATTAATTTATCAAACTAATCAATCCATATTTTTCTTTCCTCTTAGGGTTAGAAAATTAGTTTCCTAGTAGGACTATAACTCACATACGTTTTGATTATTTTAAAATATAACTAGCACGTAATATTGAGATATAAGAAACTCGTGAAGATAAAAACCCTAAGAACTTTAAGAAAAACCCTAGCCGAACTTTAAGTAAGAGAGTGATCAAGCCTTTAAACACCATAACTCGTAACAAGCATTTCAACTTAATATGATTCTCTATTTTAGAATTGTTCGATGATCGAGATGTTCATATGGATATCAATAAAGGTGCGGTTGTAGATCTATGTTGTGATTCAAGCATCCTTCACGTAAGAGATGTGATCCGTGCTATAAGAGGTAATAATCTAATCCTTCAACTTTGCTATTTTTGCATGGATCTTATGATGTTTCAAAGCAAACTGTATTATAAATGACATTATTTTTGTTGCATCAATTCTTATTGTGTTGTTTCATATCCCTATAGAATCTTGTAGAAGGTAGATTACATCTTTTAAGAAAAGGATACCTTATGTTTCCTACCAAGGTTTGACTATCTCATCTTGATGTACCAATCGATACAAGTATTGAAGCTTCGGATGTGTATCATTTTCTACCATAATAAGCTAGAGCCATTAAGGTACCGGAGAGGAGAGCACATTTAGCTTACCATGAACCTTTCGGATAAGATATCGACTATAGCATTAGTGTAGCCTTATTTATACTCAATGCTATAGTTATACCCCAAAAGCTTAATAAGCCACTTTTGTTATGCTTCAATGGTAATCTTCCGTTCCGAGTAGGTACTTGAGACTTCGTTGGTTTGTTTGGATCGTAAAGTGACCCTCCCAAAAATAAAACCTTCATTTTTATACTACAAGCATCAATGTCATTAATTCTTTCTCACTTGTAGATAAGGATAAGTTTTTACCTTGTAAGCCGATGCTAAAGTAAGCTATGGGTCACGAGTTTGTATAAGAACTGTTCTAATATCCTTTTACGTGCATCACACGTGACATAAATGATAGTGTAAAATTCGATAATGCCAAAGTTGGTGCTTACGTTATTACCTTTTTAAGATATTGAGAGGCTTATTTGCTTTCTTGGTTTTAAAAGAACGAGTTCTTCTTGAAGCGAGCCGATCAAAGGTCGTGTAATACCCTCATATCTCATAAAAATTCTTCTATAATATTCAATCGACCAAAAAAATCCTCATAATTCTTTGACATTCCATTGCATGGGATAATTTACCATTGCCTCAATCCTTGCTTGGATCATTCATAACCCTTTCTTTATTTATAATGTGTTATAGCTAATGAATTTATCATAGCAAAGTGGAAATTTTCTTTCTTAACAACAAGTTAATTATCGCTTAATTCGAGAAAGCAACATGAACATGGTGCAAATGCTCAATTTTATCCTTGATGTTTATCAAGATGTCATCAAAAAATATCGAACAAACTTACGTAGATATGATTGAAAAATAACATTCATAAGAGCTTGTAAAGTAGAAGGGGTATTAGAGAGGCCAAAGAGCATTACCAAGAATTGTAATATATGTGGTGTGTATGAAAAGCTATCTTGGTTATGCCATCAATCTACATTCGTATCCGATGATAACTCGAGCGAAAGTCTAGTTTGGTAAACCATGTCACCCTTTTTAATTCATCCAATGAGCTATTTAATTACAAGAATAGAAAATTTATCCTTTATAATGAGCTTATTGAGGGCTTAGTAGTTCATATAAAACCACCATGAGCCATTATTTTTCTTAACCGAGTAATATTGAGGAAGAGAAAGGGTTACTACTTGGATGAATAAACCCTTATATCAACCTCTCGGAGACCAAACTTCTCAATTTTCTATTTCTAGAAATAGGGATACTCGAATGGTCGAACACTAACATGTTGACCCCCTCTCACAATGGAATTCGATGGTCCTATGTTCGATGAGAAGGAAAATGATCATAAGAAGGCAAATGATCTATCCTATGAAAAAACCTCGAGGAATTCGTCGCTAAACCATCCGACATTCATTAGACTCATTAGTTTTTTGATGAGAAACCAAAGACATCTATAATAAACTACCTCGCCCCTGCATTTGTCATAAGCCTTAATGCATAGCCTTGTTCTCCTTGGACCCCACGATGTACTTCATCTCCATGCTTCAAAAATTCCATAGTATAAGTTCCAATGTCTAAAGCCACTATGCTCCTAAGATTGCATCACAACCTTTTAAAGGTAATAATAAGAAATCAATTCGAAACACAAAATTAATACGCACTAGGGTACCTATTGACGGAGACCCATACTACTAAGCTTCTCCCCACTCGGCTATTATCACCTTCAATGGTAGCCCTTGCTTAATTTGGAGGCCAGCAACCCTTGTCACTCGTTTGTGCAAGAAATTATGGGTGGAACCAAAGTTAATAAGGATCGTAATTGGGGTACCCATAAGTCTCACACTTACATGCATGGTTTGAGGAGTGAGGGCTTCGTAAAGGCATGAATGGAGATTTTTAATGCCTTCTATTCGTCTACGTGAGTCGTCCTCAAAGAGCATTTCGGGTGGGTTCCGGGTCCTTACTCTAGCATAATGAAAAAAGCTTGTTACAAGTACAACCACCATGTAAGCTTCATCACAATGGAAGCACAACCCCTGTCATCATCGTTGTTGCGGCTCCATGGAATTGAAACGTTGAACTAGAGCGAAGGATGCGGAGAAGATGTTTAAGTATTGAATGTTCCAGCCTTTGTCCGTAATGGACTTTCCTTATGAGTTGCTTCAATGGGCCTTGGTTCATTGGGCCTCTTGATCAAAGGACCGAGCCAAGACTCGAGGGTCTCTCAAAGATCCTAACTAGTCCAATTGTGTCATTCAAAGTAGGGGCTCGTTTGGCCCGAACATCGCCTCTCAATTATTCTTTTAGCCTACTAAGAAAGGCCTTAACCTCTCGTTCTTCAATTAGAGTTCTAACTCTAATTAGCAACTCGTCAAAATGGTTTTGATACTCCCGAACCATTTTAGTCCGTTTAAGTTTACACAAATCGGTAAAAGAATTTTCATAAGAAGACATATCAAATCGTTTCATAAGCTCCTCTTTCAATTCACGCCATGTAAGTAGCAGGTGTACATTCTTTTGGTGTTAGGCCCACAGTTGAGCATCTCTTTTGAGATGTTAGGTTGACAAGCACCCTTGTTCTTCTTAAACAGTATTCTATAAGTTGAAAAATTATTGCACCCAACTAATCCAGAGTGTGGGATCTTTGCTCTTGTCATAACGAGGGAAATCCAACTTGACCACTTTGTGACCAAAATTTTCGTTGGCCCCATCGCCGTTGGTGGGCCTCTGCATCAAACTTGGCTGATTGATGGATGATTCCTTCGTGGCTTAAAATGCTTGGAACATCTATATCATCTATCTACTCAAACTCTCAAGCTAATGCTCAAGTCGAAAGAAGCGTTGGTTATTGATTTCCTCGATCGTGCCAAGCTTTGATACCAAGATGTTATGGACCTATTGATCAACACGGCCTAAGCCTCAACCTCACGTTCGTTGCCTTCCATGAGCTATTTTGAAAGGAGGAAACAAAGACAAAATGATAGTGTTTGCAAAAGCAAAGTATTCTGCATAATTCTTGACTTCTTATCAACTCTAGCACTTCCTTTATATAGGCTCAATTACAACAGAATGCTAAAAATAATGATACGATTAGAAGACCTATTCTAAGGAAGTAAAGTAGGAAACAAACTCGAAGAGTTGGATCGAATTATCAGCTACCTATTAACAAAAAGACTTATTTTAAGGAAATCAAAAAGAGATACTGGAACAGGACTGTAACATCAGTATAATTGAATTGTTTTAATATTCGAGATGAATCGGTGTTTTAAATTTATCAATTGCCACAAAAGCTTTCCAGCTTTTGATCTAAGTTGACCTGGATGGTTGCGCTCTTGAAGGAAATTAATCAGCCAAACAAAGTGATAGCTGTATTAGTTGATTTATAAAATTATTATTATAGACGAAAAGAAACAAATCGTGACATTGAGATAAAGATTTCTTTGGATTATTAAAAACTTCCATCTACTTTCTCGGTGTCGAGATAGAGACTTGGCTCGGCCATCGTCTTCCTTTACACATCGCCTTAAAAATTCATGGGTCCATTTTCTTCTCCCTGTCTGCCTTGTGTGACATGCCTCTCTCTCTCCTCTTTTTGGTCACTAAAAGATATAATCAATCCATCTATGAGAGCTCAAGGTTGAAATTGTTAGCGGATCCTGAGGATGTATATATTTACTTGTAATTTGGTGTCGAGCCAATCACGTTCGAGACTAATTAAGCATGGTACTTGTGGTCGTAGTAGTAATAAATTGTCAATATATGTCACGGCACAGTATTGAAAGATACCTTTACCTGAATGTTGTCTCCTATTTAATTATTCCAAAGATAATAAAATTGGTCAAGTACGTACTATTCATAGTCATCAACTTATTGCAGCTTGCTTCACAAAGCAGTTCACAAATGAAGATTTTTCAGTTGAGATGCTGCTACTGCATGTAAATTTTCCACGTGTTTCATAAGCCGTACAGATTAATAAGCACTTTATTAGACAATAATTTCAATCGATCGGGAAATCATCAAGCAATGAGATTCTTAAGATTTGACATTTACAGAAGTCAATAAAAGTGATAGTATAACACTGGGTAATTATATTGCCAACATTAATCAAAATTGTCATGGCGTGGAAGAATGACTGTCACAGTTCTCTTTTTAAAATTATAATTAACTCGAAATGCTGTTTTCTTTTTTAAAAAAATTGGTGCTAATTTAATTTACTCGTCACTCTCCCAGCTGCCTTGTATAAGGTGGGGGGTGCAGGGTATTTATTTTCGTCAATTTTTTTGATACAATTAATTGTCTGTGACCATTAATTTGATTCCAGACATAATTAATCACAACTAATTAACCTAAGTGATTAATAGATTATGGAATTATTAGTAAGTACTTGTACAGCCCACATTCAGTGAAAACAGTTAGACTTTGTTTTCTTGTGAGGTTGTGTTGGATGGTGCCCGTAAGATGTGCTGCCATGCTATCCCCTCTACACCACAGCCAAGGCTCCCCCACCATCTGGTCCATCTATCTCTCTCTCTCTCTCTCTCTTTCCAATTACTGTACATCAGAGTGACAAACGGAGAGGACGATACTGGCTACATATTTCAACGCTTTCACAGTCTTGAAAATTGTGTGTCTATACGTAGAGAGAGAGAGAGAGAGAGAAGTGGGTTCGATAGAAACAACACGTAAATGTCAAATCCTGCATCTCCAGCCCAGGTTGTCGACTCCACCCTCTCAATCATATAATACTTAATTTCTCAATCAAATACTAGCTACTAGTGAAACCCAACAATATTATTTTACTAAAATCTCTTAATTTGCTTTCCACCACCATCTGAATCCATGTCCAATTTATTCGTAAGCTAAAAATGCAGTGTCACGTGCCATGTCTCTTTAAAAATGCATGGTCGCGTGTGCCACCTATCTGTGTCTACATGGGGTACTTAGAAGGCAGCTTTTTGATACTCAAGTCAATTTGGTGTCTGGATCGAGAAAGAGGGTGCGATACTGATACAGTAATACTCTCTGTAAAGCGAAAAAAACAAACATATACAAAAGCTTACGTGGGTAATTAATGTTCTTCATTTTGAATTTTTTTTCTAGACAGCCCATCTGTCATTGTACACATTCTCCTATTTATACTTTGACAACTTAAAGTTTCAATATAATTTAATATTGTATGGTTACTGAAGAGAAGACTTTTTTTAACACCTAAAAGCTGGTTAACTATAGGCTGTAGCATTGTAATTAGTGAAAGTAAAAAGTACAGTGAGTCCTCTTTGTTCGTTTATTTTTTGTTTCTATTCGTTTCTTCAATGGTATTAAGAGAATCCAGGTCATAATTCTACCTCCTGATGCAGCACTGTCCACTACTCCCTGCCCAATTGCATGTATGCTATTCCTTTAGCTGCACTCAGCTAAGTTTGAGCTTGGACTTTCTGTCTTACCAAGTGATGAAAGGTCAAAAGGATGCACGAGATGACTGTATTTGGTTTTGAGCGTTTAATTAATTATTAGCCTAAAAACTTTAGCTATGTTAGTAGGATCGTTACTTTAACATTTTTGGGGCTGAAAATCTCTTTTCAACTCTGATTACACCTAACAGGCTTAAACAAGGAAATGATTGTCTAGGAAAATTTCCAGCATTATTGTGTATCAATAAAAAAAAATTATTTAGTGTAGGATTCTTTATTTGATGGAATTTCTAGTTTAATGTGGATTTTTTGCGTACAGGACTTGTATAACCTAAATAAATACAATTTAATGTATGAAAAGGTTGACGTTACTCCGAGAAAAATGGAAGACTCTCGTAGAAAATGTTTACAGTATAACCTATCGAGGCATCCTAAAAAGTTTGCAAACACATGAGGCATCCCTTTTGCAGTCGTCGTAGTTTTCTGTAGTAGATTGGTATGATCTGAGCATTGTGGTTAGTTTGGCGGTCTCGTAGGAGCTCCTGAATTAATTAGGTTTGTTGGAGAGAATTTTGTAGTGGGGTTTTGCAAGCTTAATTTGTAGAGAGGTTACCTTAGGTGTAATTGAGTTTTGGACCGTGATTGTGTGAGTAATTGTAATCTTTGTATTTTGATATTCGTAGTTTGTGGATGTAGGCAATTATTGGTCGAACCATCTTAAAAATTTGTGTATGTTTTCTTGTTTATTTATTTTAGGGGTTTGCACAATATGTGTTGTGCCAGTGAAGTCAAGTGCCGATGGATTTAGCCCATCAAATTTTAAAATTCCGGGAAAATGCCAATTGAAGTTTTAACCTGCAAGAGAGAAGAAGCAAACAACGAGAAACTTTGCTAAATCATACTAATGTTGTTCTTTTTTTCCCTTACGGAACCCTTAAACCCCGTTTTTTTTTTGGGTTTTGCCTGTGTATGATTTCTCTATTTTCAAATTGTTTTGATTTAACCCTATACTCTTTTTCATATAAATTGAGTCCCTTCATTCTTCATTTTATTTGTTTTGCATTTATCTATTATAATGTCATTAGTTGTGAGTTGGCATAATACATTTACTGCTAAATGTGTGACACGTGTCATACATGAGATATCAATAAAAAAATTCAATCAAAATAATTTAAAGAGTCATGGATTAATTTTTAATTTTTTTTAAATTATAGTTTTTTTAAGATCTTATTTGAATGTCAATAATATTTCTTATGTGAGACCTCATTAGAGTAAAAGTCTGAAGAATTTTTTTTTTAAATACTATAATAATTTAAAAATGACAGAATACATACAAAACAAATCTATAATATGCAACTAAAAAAACAAAAGTACAAATATATTCATAAAAAAAAAAATTGACTAGTGGCTAATTATATATGTATATGGTGTGGTCCCAAATTCTTTTGTGAGAACAACTTTATTTTTACTTTAAATTGGTCAAATATTCACTTCTTTTTTTTTTTTTATGGAGAATTAGATCCATTAACTAAGAGATTGTGATTGATTGATATTGCACGTCACTGTATTTTTGTTTTAATTATTGCACGTTAGGGTTTTTTTTCTTTTTACCTATTATTTTTAACTTATCATATAATTAAAAAATAAATTTCAAAGCTTTATGGTGATGAGATATCATATATGATACATTTTTAATGAGGTTTTAAAAAACACATAAATTAAAAAAGAAAAAAATAATAATTTTGTTCCTAAGCTCTTCAAATTGTTTTAATTAAAACATCATATTTTTTGAATTGTTTAAATTGAGTCTCTCTAATTGAGTTCTACGTATGACACGTATCATATATTCACAAATGGATGTGTGACAGCTCACAAGTAACAGAGTTATAATGGAGCGATAGAAACAAAACAAAATTAAGAATAGAGAGATTCAATTAATACGGAAAAGAATATAGAGATTCGATAAATAAGAAAAAGAGTAGAGAGATTGTATATGAGGAAGGAAAAAAAAAAAAAAACCTCTTTTATTTTTATAGTATGAAGAATCCCTAAACTACTATTTTTTTTTCTGATTTTAATTTTCAAGCTACATTGTTAGATACTTATAAAAGATTTTATTCCCAAATCAGAGACGAATTCATTGAAGTCTAACAAATTAGATCCTTAATGTGGGTGCTTACATACCACATCCGTGAACTTCCACAACGAGTGTATTCCTACATCCAGAAAAAAAGGTCTCGTATCTTTAAATTTAGTATCCAATATGCACTGAAAAAGTACCCGAGTTCATTTTGCGATCTTCTTTTTCTCACTTTCCTAATCCCAGGATCTTAAGACCACCTTGTCTTAAATGGCTACCCTTCTGATCTCCTGGTGTGTCTTTCACCAGTACGTATTTTGTTAAGTCCCAGCCCACTCGTACCTTCTGGCTGGGGAATGGTACCAGACAACACTCGGGCCCAATTTGTATCTCTTTCCGATTGGTGGGTTGTGAAACGTCTTAGCCTTGTTAAAGCAAATTAAAGAGTTACGGGATACGGGGCCTGATTTGGACTCCCATTGAGGCCCATGAACCTAATTAACTACTCATCAGTAAGCACCTTCAATAAAAAATCTCCACTTGGACCAAACTCCGACGGCCTTAACTATCGCCCAAACATGAACAAAGATGTCATACAGCCCATTGCCACCTCTACCAGGCATCACCGAATCCAAATCCATCAAATAACGTTACATCAAATACCGATCTTCGCACCCAAAGGTTTCCAAGTAAGCATATATGTACTGGTCAGTCATCATAGGAGTTGGGACGCATTAATTATTAGGAAATTTTATGTTTTAGATATTTCTTTTTTTTTTCACAGGAAGTCTATAGATTTTTTATCTTCGCAATAAAAGATAACTCTCTCTTATTCCATAATTACTAAAAAAAAATTTAAAGACACAAACTCAAATCTTACTTGACAAAGCGTGCTAATTAGGTACCAGAATTTTATATCATTCGTTGAGTAACTAGCATGAATTACTATATTAAAGAAAGATTGATTAAAAATTAAAAATTAAAAATTAAGTCTAGGTGAAATTCTTTTTATAGCTTTTATGTGGACTGGAATATATATATATATATATATTTTAATCTATTTCTCTTCTCTCGAAGTAGTTTATGGATTAACTATTGTATATATGCAGTATTTGCTTCTTGAATATTTTAATTTTTTTTTTTTGTTTATTGCTCTTAGAAAATAGATTTATTGAGTAAAATAGTTATTTGTTGAGTATTTTAAAAATTTTCAACTGATTATATAACTGTTAAATTAAAATTGCTTATATATATAAATATATTTTTTTAATTCATTCTAAGATAGGTGAATTTAAGATTACACAATAGGAATTATTTTTTTCTCACTAGATAATAATTAAATAAACTAAACTTATCAACATTAGAACATATTTCATGTTAGAGGAAGTTAGACAGTGCATGATTAGGTATTTAGTTTGAAATGTCAATGCCCTGTTATCCCTTCCAAAATTCTAGGTCTCATAAGAATACGGGCTTCATTTCTAAACACGTACGTACTCATCACAGCAGTTGGGACGCATTAATTATTATTAAGACATGGTATGGTTTTGATATTTATTTTCAAATGCAAATGTCCTCTCCCTTCCAAAATTCTAGTTCACATAAAAATACAGGTTGCATTTCTATCCATGTCATGAAAAACGACAAAAAATTCCGACCACGACTTCGAGTTGATCCTTTATTTCTACCTTGGCCCCCAGATTCCACGTACCAAAATAAAATTGGCCCATTAGATTCAACCTCTTCAACCCCATCACCTTCAGGTTGCCTTTATGTTGGACCTTTTCTTGGCTAATGTGGCATAAAGTTTTCAACATCTATCCTCCTCTCTTTACACGTAGACTGTTCAACGTCCTCCCTTCTTTAGCTTATTTGCTACTCTGCCATTTTAGATTGGTCCACTGTTCCATTCTTACCCATACGGAAAGAAATGCTAATGATGATAGCCTCCGCCTAATACAAATAAAAAAATTGCGGTCATTGTCACCAAAGTGTCTCCATCAGTTATGTGCCTTTTTTCTTTTACTGCCATTTGCAAACTTTATAATCATAAAAAAAAAATTAATTTATCTCTGCTTGAGTTTTTTTGATAAGAACGAGAGTGAGGTCTAGGTCAGAACTGTACTAAAAACGGAAGACGATATGGCTTTGTCCATTTGTTGTTCGTTGCAAGAGAGAGAGAGAGAGAGAGAGAGATTCAATATAGGAGGACATTCTTGTCTTCTTAAGGTTAAGGAACTTCCCTAAGTTGTTCTCGAATAAAAGGTCTTTAAACAGTTTCATCAAATATACATAAAGCGAGCATACATGTTTCTTAATTATAGAGTGGAATTCATCTTAGATTCACTTACATCATTATTGTTGCGGTAAGAGGAAGGAGGAGGTGGAATTGAAAATACAGGAATATTGCGTATTTACGATAAGTAATTTTTTGGATCATATCTTGAAATTCAAACTATTAATTTTAAAATAAATAATGTGAATTTACCTAACATGCTAGATTATGCTATTTCTAATCTAAGCGGAATATGATCTGATCTATCATGTTAAAGAAAATCTAAACAATTAATTTTGAAATCAATAATTTGGATTTCACGTCACCAAATTAGTGGGTGATTAAAATATTTTTTCTTTTAGAAAATTAAAACCATCAATTTCAAAATCAATAATCTAAATTTATTTAATATGATAAATCGAATAACCTCTAACCTGAGGGAAACCAAATCCCATAATCCATAATATTTGGGTAGGTCAATCAGAAAGGGAGAAATACTACTTCCATTCTCTGGCATATACATCCTGATCCAGCAAAGCATTAGATCCTGGATTTGTGAAGAGAACTGCAAAGTATATTACAAGTACCAGACAAAGGGTCGCAGCACTACGTGTCGATCACGCAGGGATGATAAAAAAGAGCACAATAAGACAAAGACCGTGTTGTAATTCAAAAATTGTCCCCACCGACGACTCTTAAGTGGCTACGATACTGAAGCAAAAATAAGCACGTGTCCTCTGAATAAAAAAACTATCTTTTCATTCTTTCTACGTTGAACCATAAAGTTTGAGACACGTACGTACTGAACTGAGCACCCACCTAAACCTCCAAACGAAAATGACGACAGAAAAAGGATGCTACGTTCTGACCCATTGCAGCTGGCATAATGTTATTGGGTCACGTGTTACAGATGCTTGTTCCTAGCAACTAATCTTATTGGATGGCGTTGGAAAATATTATTCCACATGAATTTTTTAAAGTTATTTTTGACAGATAAAACAAAAGATTTTGAATCGCTATATATATACATATATATATATTGCGAAGGGAGAGAACCAAAGTCAGACACGTTGAGTTTGAGACTGGGACTCACTCACCTGACTCTTCCAAGATGGCTCAAGTCGACTTGTCCGTCTTCTCAATGGATAGAGATTTTTGAATAGTCTCTTAACAACCAAACATTTGTCAATATGATTAAGATGCTGTAAAATGTACAAATTAGTCGGAGATATAAGTGATTTGATTGCTAGTTCACTGTTGGGACTCAATTGATTAAAGTTCAATATAATCGTAGCGAAGTTCATTTCAATAACTTAGCTTAGCAAAAGAGAATAAAAGAGATCATTTGCGTAATCCGAGATGTGATAAATTAAATTTCCATGTGAAATGACAGAGAATTAATAATCCAGACCAAAAGCACAAGAGGCAGATAATTCAGCGGTTCTGGAGCTTCCAACATTTCTAACAACTACTCCATAAAGTCCAAACTCAAGATAACTCCGTGCATATTCTAATTTTTGTGAGGTTAAGCGTATCCAGACTTCCATTCTTCACAAACGACACATGCTATGCTAGCGTCCGAGGACAACAACCGATCAACTATATGTGGAAGAATGCAAACGACGCGTGCAGTGGGCCTCTACAAAAATTTTATTCTAATCTCTAGGGTATCATGACGATGGTGATGATCAAAGATCAATCTCTCCAGAAAATCTGGAGGGTAAAGCATTACAATCGTAATTGGGGTGACATGATGTAGCCTGTGTCTTATAATATGAGACTTATAAAGACTCGTTACAGCCTAGTGGCACAACGTGACTCACGTTGCCGACATCAAGAAGTTAAAAGACAAAATAGAACGTAGCTGATGACCATGGACGGTTTCATATTTTACTGTTTTCCATAATGTAAATCAATTAAAATGTGCTTCAATATGTATCCACGTTCAAAACAAAAAAAATAAAATATACATTAGCGTTCTCTGTAATTAATGTTGAGGTTCAATACAGATGGGTCCATTTAATTTAATTTATAAAAATTAAGAAACTTGTTCGACGTCAATTTTATATGCAGCACATGATTTTTTTCCTCATGTATTTTTATTTTACATTAAAAATATGATTAATTTTATTCGAAACATAAATAATAAAAATTAATATTTTTTAATAAATATAATTTTAGAAATTAAATCTTACACGTTGACGTATGATTATTTTTGAACGAGAAATATCAGCTACACACACATTTCAGTTCAAATAGATTTCAAATGACCTTGTATATCTTAAGTAAAGAGGTTCCAGTTGAATTTCTTCTAGAGAGAGCCATAGAGGAAACAGAACAAGTAAATAAATCCAAAGTGCTTTAGAATCGTCATAGCTTCTTGTGAACATTTTTGGTTCCCAAAAAAAAAAAAAAAAAGAGTTCACACACTGTGTATGATGAGAAAAAAAAATGAAAAAAGAATTGTACCGTATGAGAAAAAACTTCCATTAATTAGTCAGAGTAATGGACACTGATATAGACTTCATTTTGACATGCATTTTGAACGGAGTAAACTTTCGAATCAAAAGCTAGAATTTGAAAAGAGAAAGCTTTTTTTGGTGACTAATTTTTTATTTTTTTTATGTACAATAGTGGATCTCTCGATGATTAACTAGTTAAGTTTTGATTTTTTATTTATTCGACATATGAGTTTATTTAAATTCGATTTTACCGACGTGTCCGATAAAATATATTACGTGACAATAAAAAATACTATGTGGTAGTCAACCCTACCACATCGGAACCTCATACTCTCATATAGCTATGAGCACTCAAATAGAAAACAAATCAAAGATTAAACATTGAAATAGGAAAAAAGAAAAAAAATTAAAAATTGAGCACCTAAATAGAAAAAAAATATATCAATGACTATACACAAAAAATATAGTTTTTTCACATTAAATGTTTATCCCCTTTTTATACTCCGATATATCTTCTTTTTATTATAAATAGATTTTTAAGTATTTCTTGTGTATATATATATATATATATATATATATATATATATAGAGAGAGAGAGAGAGAGAGAGAGAGAGAGAGAGAGAGAGAGTATTTCTCAAAATTTTATTTTGGATATTAAAGGTCATATAATTTTAAATTCTAAAAACATCAATAATTACATACATGCATATATTCTTATTATTATGCTAATTACACGTGCAATTTTAACAATACATTTACTTCTTAGCTTAATTCACAGTTTACTTATTATCTTTATCATTATCGTCATTGTTACAAAAAATATTACACTTTAACTACTCAAATCAAAAAACTTGATCGCCGAACTTATTTATATCGATTCTATATTATCTTAACTTATTATAGTTTTAAATTCTAAAAACATCGACAATTACATGCATGCATATTTTCTTATTATTATGCTAATTACACATGTAATTTTAACAATACATTTACTTCTTATCTTAATTTATAGTTTACTTAGTATCTTTATCATTATCGTCATCGCTAAAAAAAATATTACACTTTAAATGCTCAAATAAAAAAAACTTGATTACTAAACTTATTTATGTCGATTCTATTTCATCTCGGTGTATTAAAAGAAGTTCGGCAAGTTATTGGCTACAACAAGGTTATGTCAACCATGATATGTTGGTCAATTTTCTCCCTAGACAGAGGAAATAATTTTTATTGTTTGTAACTTTTTTCATTGACCAACAATTTGTTCCACAAATGACAATGACAATCATAATTAGATCTTATATGTTTTTTTTTTTTAATTTAATCTTAGTTGAACCTTATGTATATTTTGATTAAATGACATAATTTTAAATTTATCTAAACATGTAAAATGGTTTAGATTTTTTTAAAAAATAATTTTTAAGTGATATGAATACTAAAAATTATCACCGATAAGTAAAAAACATTCCATTATTATGATATGAAAAATATTTATTAGAAATTGTTGGACTAATTTTGCAATTTCGAGGCAATAGATTTCGTTAAAAAAATGTATATTTGGTATTCAATCTTTTAATTTTTTTTTTCTATTTTGAAGCCTAACTTTTATTTTTTTATTTGAGTGTCCATAGTTACATGAAAGTATAAGGTATCGACTTAGTAGGATTGACTATCACGTGACAGGATTGAGTGCCACATGGCATTGTTTGACTGCCATGTGACGGATCTCACCGATCATGCATGCAAAATCAGGATTTAAGTGAATTCAGGTATAAGAAAAAAAAAAATCAAAACTTAGATAGTCAATCATAAGAAATCATCTATTAAACAATAAAAAAAAACATTAAATAATTAAGCACCAAAAAAGCCTTTTCTCTCATTTGAAAATGAGAACTTACTGTAACTTGCGGGACAGGTTTGTGTTATTATTTTAAATATTTTAACTAATGTACAAGAAATAATAAAGTCATAGATGAAAAATGAACAAGCCGGCTTGAATAGGCCACCTAAGCTAGAGCCCCGTCTATGAAATTACTTGATCATCATATAAACGTATAAAGAGGGTAGAAAATATGTACAGCGTAGCGTTCCCAAGGCACGACAAGAAAAGCACTGTACGTTATCAGCCCGGGTATAAAGCCCCACAAACTGCAGAGATAAAGCAGCAATTAGGCCATTCCAGACTTTCCAGTCGGACCCGGAGCCAAGACTTTCACATACTTAATCCTAGCTACTAAATAGATGCAAACACCCAAGACATTCACCTGTTGCTCACAAGTACTTTCAGACTTCCAAAACATTCTCTATTGCCACCATATTCGATAGTTGAATTAAGAAAATAGAAGTTTCTGAAGGCAGGTGAAGATCCCAACAAGATGTTTGATGGAGGAAAATATTCTCCTTCGGAAACAGAGCCTTTTAGCTGCTTGAACAGTGTCTCAACATCCAGAAAGAAGAAGAACAAGAACAAAAGGAGGTTTAGTGATGAGCAGATTAAATCATTGGAATCTATGTTTGAATCGGAAACAAGGCTTGAGCCTCGAAAGAAGATGCAGCTGGCAAAAGAGCTTGGATTGCAACCACGACAGGTTGCAATATGGTTTCAAAATAAGAGAGCTAGATGGAAATCTAAGCAGCTCGAAAGAGACTACAGCATACTACGAGCGAATTACAATAGCTTGGCTTCCCGGTTTGAGACACTGAAGAAAGAGAAGCAAGCGTTGGCAATACAGGTACTTAATATACATCATATTCATCTTAAGTTTTATGTTCTTCTGGCAAGGGGGGTTTGCAAACATTTGCGTGCATACTGAGATTTTCCCATATTTGACAGTTGCAGAAGCTGGATGATCTGACGAAGAAGCCAGGAGAGGAACGAGAGTGTTGTGGTCAAGGAGCAGCTGTGAACAGCAGTGAAGGCGAATCAGAGAATGGACACGCAACTAAGGGTGAATCAGAAACGCAGCCTCGGTTGTCAATCGGAAGACCAGAGCATGGATTAGGAGTCCTTTCCGATGAAGATAGCAGCATAAAGGCAGAGTATTTTGAACTAGAAGAAGAACCGAACCTAATGAGTATGGTGGAACCCGCGGATGGATCATTGACATCACAAGAAGATTGGGGGAGTTTAGACTCCGATGGCCTCTTCGATCAATCAAGCAGTGGTTATCAGTGGTGGGATTTCTGGGCTTGACTGAAGAGGAAACTGAATGAAGACCGAAACAAATGTATCGATAGTCCTTGTATTGATGAATTCCAGCACTTGGTGAGGCAAAATTTAGAGAGACCATCGGAGAGGAACACTTCAGAGAAATGCATCAATTGACGTGACGAATTTGGATTTTGGTGTGAATATAGAGATTCAAGTTTTCCTCTTGATGCAACTAGAAAAGCTGCCACGCTGATCTTACCTCTCCGAATCTGCCCCACGACTGGAGTCCCTGCTGGTTTGAGCCAGGAAAAATGAAGAGTCCATAGGAAATGTAAAAAATAAAGGCAGCTGTGTAAGTAGTAAGCTAGTGTGCACAAAAGATTTGCTTGTAGGGGGGGGGGGGGGAATGCTGCATTATTACTCCAATACAGAGATATGTTGGTCTCCAATCTCTGAAGGAGTTTACTGCTGTGCTATCCTATATTCAATTCACTGTTTTTTTTTCCCTAGTCGTGGTGCGATGTTTGCAGAGAAATTTCATTGTGGGTGTATGATAAGAGGGATCCAAAATTAAGGTTCACAGCTTAATGAAATATTGCGAATTACGCTAAGTAAACGAAAAGTAATGAAAACTGTAGTGTTAAAATCAAAGATACTTTGATTCAGGAGATTTGCTGAAAGCAGCCATGGAGAAACTATGTAGTTTCAAGAAAATCAGATTGTACAATAATTCTTCTGTTTTGCAAAGTGCTCTTCTAGCATCTTAACATCCACTCGGATAAACTAAAGAACGTTAGATGCATCTCTAGAGAATATAGCTAAAAATAACAGCTAAAAATAACAAAGCCTTCAGTGTTGCAGTTAAAACTAAAAAAGGCAGCATGAATGGGGCATGCAACAAGAAAGAAATGCATTTCAGTGTTTTTTCCAAAGTGCTTCTGGGTTGAAAAAGATAATCTTTTTAGGTCTTTTCAATCGTTTTGTCATCTTCTTATAAAAACCATTCAAAAGCATAGGGAAAAAAAAATCATCAATTTGATGCTTCTTTAACCCAAAAGCACTTTCAAAAAAATTGGCAACTCGCCACCGAACAGGCTCCAAATTATCCATAAAGTATTTGCTTTTCCATGAAGTAGAGAAGTGGTCGCGGGGGGGGGGGGGGGGGGGGTGGCAGTAATATTGAAGTTAAGCTCTCCTAAGTTGATGGAATCTTGTGATTGAGCAGAAGTAACGTTTCAAACCTAACCTTGTACTTGTGCCATTTGCTTGTTTTAAGTAGGGCTCGACAAGAGGATCTTAACATTCCATTCTCCCAGACCCATCGTATCAAAAGGAAAAACTATATAATACATACATCTATTAATTTTTTTTTCAATTAGATATATAAATTTTTTATTTTTGGTGTTTTAGTATATTAATTTGTTAGAAAATATTAATCAAGTCTCTTTTGTATGATCTTTCATTTAATAATGATATGATAGTTAACAAAGAAGAATCTGTGTGGAGAAAGAAAGATAACAAAACAGTTTAATAAATAAAAAAAAAATAGCAAAGCTGCTGTTTTTTTTAATGAATAATTAAAAAATAATAATTATTTGGAACGAAAAAAAACAATACAATCATTTAATCTTTTTTATTAATTGTCACATCATCATTAGACATAAAATTAGACCAAAAAAACTTAATTATATTTTTAAAAAAATTGATATATTAAAATGAAAAAAAATAAAAATTGATATTCTCCATTAAGAAATATTTGGTTTTTCTATATAAAAACCAAAGACAGAAGTTAGTATTAATTTGGAGCAGGATTTTAATAATGCAAATGTCTAATCTTTTTAATGTTACCCATAGCCAAGAAATTCAAAGCTGCGCTTAAAATTTTGGTGCGAAATTTAATCAAATCAGGCATTTAAATCACCAAAAAAACAAAAAGAAAAAAGCAAGAATTTAATCACAGCCACCAGCCATCTCCATTATGGCATTGAGTTAACAACAAACAGAGATGCTCCATAAATCAAAGCAAACCAATGCAATTCCCAAACGCAAAATTTTTTTGAGATTTCAAAAAATCTTACCTTCAATTCAATTCCGGATTTTGAATCCAGAAATTGCCAACTCAATCACCACGATCTCTGAAGTTTTGATCTTTCGGCGGGATGGTTTGGTCAACGAAGGGGTCCCACACTGACCAATAAACGGGACCGTTTTAAGAAAACGAGATTCAAGAAGCAACATGTCGTTTCTAACAAATGAGTAGACTGAAAATCTCTCCTCCTCTCCATGGTTTAGTAAAGTGACTTACATTTGAGAGAGAGAGAGCGAGCGAGAGAGAGAGAGAGAGAGTGATGAACGACCTGTCCAATGCAGCTTTGAGAGAAGAGAAAAGCCACAGTTGCAAGCCAACACCAAGGATAGCAATCTGCGTTTTAGTACCATTGTTCTTTGTTGGGCTTTCAGTTTCTATTTTTATACTCATTGTGGTCCACAACGTTTTCTTCTTTCTTTCATTTGTCTTGCTCTTTGCTTTCGTTCTTTCTTTTTTAGCTTGGAATAAACTTAATTGGAGACGTAAAGCTGCTGTTTTATGGTTTCTTCATTCTTTTCCTGATTCTGACCTTCCTGCGGCTACTGAAGGACAGCTTGTTAAGATTACTGGGGTACTTTCTTACTTCTTCTTTCTCTCTTCATTTCATCTGTTTTTCATGATTTTGTTTTTGGTCGGTTTTTGTTGTTTCGCTGTTTAGTGTTGTTGCTTAGAAAAAACAGGAAATGCTTAACTGAAAATGGTGGGATTTTTATTTTTTGTTTTTAGCAAACAGACACGCATTGCTGACGTACTGATTTTGATTTTTTAATTGGGTTACCTTTTTCTTTTTCTTTTTTTCCTCTTTAGCTTTAAACGATTTGAATTGAGGGGTTTTTATCCTTGCATTGTTCAATATGAACATATATGTTGACCTTATGCGGTTTTTGAACAAGTGGTTTTGAATGAGTTGCTAATAGAAGGAAAAGAATGGGAAATGTGGTCTGTTGATCATCAAATTGAAGTAAATAGTTCGATTGACATCTAAGAATCTTCTATCTGATTTGGGAGAATGGTGATTTTCTTTATTTATACTTTTGTTTTTCCATTTTTTGTGAGAGTGGATGCAATTGAATTCTCTTTCTGCTATTATATCGTACTTCTAGAGAAACAGAAAATGTGGCTCCAAGGTTGAGGGCATCTTTTATATATATATATATTTGAATGTAGGTGATCATATCTAATTGGGGTTTAAGCTTTCTTGCTTTTGCTTAGTTGACAGGCGCTTGACGAGAAGCAAGATCAGTAATTTTTTTTATCTAAAGAAACATTCCAGATTCTGTAGTAAAAACTTTGAAATATGATCACTATGTTGCTGTATTACTTGCTAAGTTATGAATGATGGGAAACTTCATTTAGTATTTATTTATTGATTTTATGTATTTGGTGCCAATATTAATTGCTTAATATGGCTCTGTAAGTTGTCTTTTCCTATGCATTACTGACTGTCACTTGGACATGACATTTTCGATCTGTCAACCGCACAGAGGTGTTAAGATAAAAACAGATGCATTAGATTTCTTTGTAGCACAGACAGCTGTCTGAGAAACTAGGCATTACCTTAACAGAGTTAAAGCAGCACATTGCATATTGGAACATGATAAGCTGGTCCTGTTAATCTAACTTTTATTAACCTGCTCTCAGCTATCGCTTAGCAGATAGAAATACTCTCTGCCTGACAAAGGATAAATTATTCTTTTTCTCTCTCATGATTTTAGCTTGTATCCTGCGGAAGCGTTTCCCTGGAATCTTCATATGAAAGAGCCACCCGATGCATCTATGCATCTACTCTTTTGTATGAATATGTAGGATTTGGACTGAAGCCAATGAATGCTAATACGTCATGCTTACAGTGGAGTCTAACATATTGTGAGGTAAGGATCTCTCTTTACTCAGAAACTGTTGCGATTAAAATGGATACTTTATTGAGATTTTATACTGGGTTGAGAGCTGATGTCTGTCTGTTTCCTTTCTGATATACATAAGTTTGCTTTAAATTGTTAGTTGTTATATAGTCCATCTCTACAGAAAACTAGAGATGGCTTGTACATTTCTTGAATATATGAACTCAAATTTTCAAGCTTAGTTTATATTTGTAGCAGTTACTATTTTTCTCAAAACAGACCATTATCAAGCTATCATCAACCGAGCTGAAGCTTTGAGAAAGAATTTTGAAACAATCCTATACTTCATCATTTATGGAAAAAGTGCTGTTATTAAGACCCAAGCCTACAACCTTTCGGTAGCAACTCTTGCACCAAGCCCTACACATGGAAGATCAAAATGCTAGCTTATTATTGCCCATTGTTTTAATCAGTGCAACATCAAATTCTACACTTCTGTATTTGTACTTTGTTTATCAGGAAATTGTTATTCTAATTAGGTTCAATCTATGGATATGTTGTTTGATTGTTGTGCTATATTTGTAGCATAAAGCAAGTGGCAGGTATGAATGCCATGCCATTGTTCCGAAAGCCTAGCTTCACCTTGTTGAAATCCTCCTTCCATTTCCGTCCTTTATTTTGTTCTTTCCCTACTTTCTGCACTTCTTAACCTTCCCACATTCTGGCTTCTCCCCTTGATTTTCTGTCTCCGATTCCCCATAAACTATTGAATTCCACCTTAATTATTTTGCTGTTAAGATATCTATGATAGTAAATTGATTGTCACAAAGATGGCAACAGGAACACTACTCTTCCCTCAGTCAACATTTAACTTCATTTTGTATTGCCCTCGTCAATTAATCATCCTGCTATAAATTATAAGTTTCAAAACATGAAATCGAAAGATCAAATGATTAATTTATCTTGGCAATGGACCACTTATATTGAAATTTTTTATACCTTTCTGATATTTGACAGTTTCCTGTTGTATTAAAAGCTGATCAATGTCTTCTTTGGGTCTTGCTCATGCAGCAATTAAAAATGGACAAGCATGACTGTATAAATATCATATATGTTGACGCTTGGTTTAAGAAGTAGACCATTCATTTGTGAGGATTTGAGGCGACATGTTAAATTCATCATGAAATCAATTTCTTTTTTTTTGGCATGTATGTCAATGAAAAAACTCTGGTGGCTCTTTCCACTAGTCTGGTTTCACATTTATGATGCACTTGAATCTAGAAATCATAGCAAGTCATTTTTTTCTTTTTTGGAAGTTTGATGTTGTCCTGTTTGGAATTTCTACCTGACAGAGATTCTCCACAGACTTCTACATAACTGATCGAAAGTCCGGCATCAGAGCCATGGTAAAAGCTGGTCCCGGTTGTAAAGTTGTTCCCTTGATTGTTGAGAGCAAACTTGTGACTACTACAAGACAATGCAGAACTCTATCTTCTCACTTGAGGAAATGGTTGCAAGACAGGAACCTCTCAGCAGACCCCCGTCTACTACACTTGCAAGAAGGGTAACCTTTGACCTAGTTCTTCTGTTGCTTTTGTGCGTACTTTGCCCAAGCTTACAAGCTGGCAATTTCTGTCTGTTTTGGCAGGTACGTACAAGAAGGCAGCTTTGTTACTGTGATTGGTGTTTTGCGTAGAAATAGTGATATTTTGACGATTGTTCAGCCAGAAGAGCTTTTGTCCGCAGGATGTCTGTGGCAAAAGCTTTTACTCCCAGTGAATGTTGATGGCCTAATCCTGGCGGTCCCTGATACTGCTGGCCATAACATGAACCCAGGTTACAGGCATCAGTTGGAACAATAATGTCTAACCTCTCAGAAAATAGGAATAGGTAGGACTTAGATCTAGTTGATAAAATTGATTTCTCCTAAAATTCAGCCTCTCTGCGACACCTGTGCATTTTCTTTTGTAATATTCTTGTAGGTGGTTCTTTTCTAAACTTCATATCTAATCACTTCCCTGGCCAAAGATTCTTGTACTCTTCCAATTATAGTATCCAAGAATGATTTTCGTAGGCCTATGAAATGATGAAAGATTGATAGGAATTAGAAAAAATTTCTCCAGCTTCCGTGGCAGGGGCATGGGTGGCATGAACTCCCAAGACTGGATGAAGAGAATTTTCAATAAAAAATGAAAACCGCTTTCAATGTGGTCTTGGAAATTCTGAGCAGTGCTGGTAGAAAATTGATAAAATTTGCAGTAAACTTCACGTGCAAAAGAGCTGGCAAGCATCCATCCAACATCTTGGATTTTTTTCCTTCCTTTTGATTCCTTTGATTGATTGCCAAAGTAATCACTAAACAATATCTCCCCTTATTTATTTCATTTCTAAAATAAGATTTTGTATTTAGTATTAGAATTTTCATTGAATTCTTGCACTAGACTTCATTAACAAAGATAAATTTTTCGTTTCTTTTGCTTTAGTTTCATGGCTTTCTTTAGAGTGAGATGCACATTTTTGGTATTTATGAGATAAACAATAGGAAATAGTGTGTTTTGGTAGTAGGTTTGCTCATGACAGAATTATTATTATTATTTTTTAATTTACTTTAGATTGACTGAGTTTGTGCTTTAACACTATTGTTATGTTCTGTACTTATGATGATTAGAGTTGAAATCCAAACTCTTTAAAGAAATAATGATAGAGAGAAATAAAGATAGAGAAACTTCTAATTTATTTCAATTCTGTCCTTTTGGGGATTAAAAAAGGTTTACTTTTAAAATTATTTACTTGAAATAAATTATAATTTAGTTGTAATGATATAAAGAATTTTATATTATCTAGGGACTTGGTACTTTTGTTATATTGAAAAGTGAAAATTATGGTAAAATTAAATCTATGTTTCGTGAAAGAAAATGAGATTGTTGTTTCTATAATCTAACATGTTTCTTAATTTTTTTAAAAATCTGAATTGTTTGTTCGTGAGATTGAAATTTTATTTTTGTCTAATTGAATTCTATTTTATTTTGAATCAACGGTTAAGAATATTGGAAAAGAAAACAATGACGAGGAAGAGGAAAACAATAATTACATGTTATCACAATCTGTAATATATTAACAAATGACTTGGAATGCTCACGTGGAGTCTATATGGCATAACAAAATAAGATAAAAAGTGCAATATTTTAATTAAAAAAAAACCTTAGTTTGGGGAAAAAACTTCAATATCCTGCCAGTTGCATAACTAAGATTCTTCGGTTTGGTGCAAGCCCATACGGTTGGCTGGATCAGTGTGATACGAGTCGGGAAGAATTGACTTTTGATTGAAGATGGTACTGCAGCTTATGATTGAAGGCTGTGATACAAGAGTCAATATTTGGTAAAGAAGATAGGTGTCATTTAGTTAATGAGTGAAGGACACGTAGGACAAAAGAGAAAAAAGAGAGACACGTTTATAGGTTGTTGAAAGTGATGTGACTGGCCATTACTAGTTTATTGTATCACGGTTGAGAATGTCTCTCTAGTGTATTAAAGATGAGAGAGTAATTTTGATTTGTGTTATAGATTTCTGGATAACTGTGTTCTATTCTCGATTTTCCTCCCTAGAACTCTCTTTGAGTTCCTTTCTTCTATTCTGTTTTACTCTGTTTTTACTTTTGAATTATATGATATTTTACTTTGATTGATTCAGTTTTTAATATTCAATCTATTGTAAAATCTACGATTTATCTCTAGTTCTTCAAGTATAGAATCGATTGGCAAGTATAGAATTGGAAATTTGCATCAATTGGTAGGCGAAGCAGTGATCGTGGCACTTGTGGAGGAATTAAGAAGAATTGAACAATTATGTCGAAAGAAAGTGCAAAATTTAAGAAAATAGAGAAATCGATTGTTCATCCAATTAGAAATTTGGATAGAGACAATTTTAGAAGGCCAAAGTATATGTGTCCTATGGAGAGTGGCTATGAAGGAGGTAATTTTGGGTATCAATATAATTCTAAGATGCTTAGAGTTGAATTTTCTAAATTTAATGGAGAAGATTTTGAAGGTTAGGTTTTTAAAACTGAGAAATTCTTCTTAGTAGATAGAACACCTAAAGAGTCTAAAGTGAACTTAGCAGCTATTCATCTATAAGGAGAGGCTCTTGAAAGACATCAAGTCTATGTAAAAATGCATTGGGCTAGTATGATTTTGAATTGGATTGATTACATAGAAGCTATGAGTATTCTATTTAAAGTTATGAAATTCAGTAATCTTATGGAAAAATTGATGTCATTAAGACAAACGAAGGAAGTACAATCTCTTTTTAGAAAGTTCAATTCGGTAGTCCATAATCTAACTCTTCCTAAAGATTATATTGTTAGTTGTTTTGTAGGCAATCTTAAAACTAAATTACGAGATGTTAGTGAGACCTAAAATCTTAAAAGAAGCAATAGTTTTAGCAAATTGTAATAAATCAATCCAAACATTCCACACTACCTAATAGAACCAACTTCAAAACGCCTTCCCTATTCTTCCAAAGACCAAATCCCAATTTTGTCTCGGACACTCAAAGATCTAATATTACAAATTTTAACAAAACTCTAAACTTTACGAGATCAACAAATTCAAATAAATTTCCACCAAAATGTAAACCTTAATTCAAATGAATTATTGAAATTGATTGAAAGTCCGGTGGCTCTTTCCACTAGAGATTGCAAAATCATAAAATTATAAAAATTAACATTGATTCTTATGATTTTTAAATAAGAGTAACATAATTGTACGTGAGCGTGCACACACACACACACATATGTGTGTGTGTGTGTGTGTGTCTAAAAGTGTGTTTAGATATTTTGACTCAAACTTTTTTTTTATTTAAAAATAATCAATTAAAAAAATAGAATTCATGCATTTTATTTTTTTTTTAGTATATATATAATAAAAAATTATTGGAATCAATTTTGTAGTAGTTTTTAATTCAATCTATTAACTTCGATATATTTCTTATAATTTAGGTGATTTTTGTATATATATTTTTTATTTATATTGTACACTCTAAATCTGTTGAGTATGATCATAATACACATACATATTAATTTTGTTAAAAATTAACTATGCATATGCCTACGTAACACTTTTTATTTGTTATTTATTATTTTTCATGCTCTAAAATCAATTGGTTTCAAATAAAATAATTAAAATAATGTTTTAGAAGAACTACCTAAGTATTCAAATATAGTTTTTTTTTTGTGCTAATATTATTGATTATTTTGTTAATAAATATATTTAAATCAAATGTACATGCTTTTATTTTGTTAAGTATGATCATAATACACATATACATTAATTTTGTTAAAAATTAACTATGTATATGCCTCCATAATGCTTTTTATTTGTTATTTATTCTTTTTCGTGCTCTAAAATCAATTGTTTTCAAATAAAATAATTGAAATGATGTTTTGGAAGAACTATCCAAATATTCAAATATATTTTTTTGTGCTAATATTATTAATTATTTTGTTAATAAATATATTTAAATCAAATATACATGCTTTTGAAAAAATAATCTTCTCATAAACATTAAAAAAGAATGATAAAAAAATTATTTGTTAAGTTTTATACAAGTTTTTATATCAATTGTTACTTTATTTTTTCAACATAATCTTATGAAAGAAATATTTTTTTTTACTTTTGAATTAAATTTTTTATTTAGATTATTGTAAGTTTTTATTTAAAAATTAAAGCATAAGAAATGAAAAATTGAGTTTTTTTTTAAATATGAAATTTAAGAAAAAAACATAAAAAAAAATAAAATATAAAATTTTGATTAAAAACATATAAAATTAGATAATTTCACATAAGTAGCGTGACTCACAGTATAACTCGTAAAGCCAACTAGTATATACGAAAAGACCTCACAACAAGAGGCTTCTCATCTAAATAACAACAACAGTGTATAATTTACAAGTTTTAAACGGATTTGTGTTGAGAATAAGAAAGTTGGTGGGTAGCCGATTTAGATACACAACAAGTTAGCTTCTAGTCGTACATGTATTTCTTTGTTTTCAAATTCAACTGTTCGACATACTAAAAGACAAGTCGTTCTTTAAGGAAACTCATGTTCAAACGACAAGTGGTTGGGTCGTTCTCTTCTCCTTCGGTTCCATCCCTTCACCCACTCACTCCCCCAACCATGTTTTCACTCTCCCTCTCCAGACCGGAAAAACTGAAACCTTAAAATCAGGAGAAAATGCAGAGATTGTCGAGATTCTCTTCAAGAACAATCTTCTTCTCTTTCCTTAAAAAGCCGAACAATTACAATTGCTCGCTTCACTCTAACATCTTCCTCCTCATACACAAACAACACCTACACCAAAACCCCACCAACATATCAAACAAAACAACAAATGGGTTTGGTCTTATTTCTCTTCAAACCCAGCAACCGCTACAAGAACAAGACAACACAGTCGATGAATTTGCAAGCGATGTCGAAAAGGTATATAGATTACTCAGGAAATTTCACTCTAGAGTTCCTAAATTAGAACTTGCTTTACAAGAATCTGGTGTGGTAATGCGTAATGGTCTGACTGAACGCGTCTTAAATCGTTGTGGCGATGCTGGGAATTTAGCTTATAAATTCTTTGTGTGGGCATCGAAGCAGCCTGGTTATAGACATTGTTATGAGAATTATAAGGCTATGATTAAGGTTTTGAGTAAAATGAAACAATTTGGTGCTGTTTGGGCTTTGATAGACGAAATGAGGAGAGATAATAGTGTGTTAATTACGAGTGAAGTTTTTGTTGTTGTAATGAGGAGGTTTGCTTCTTCTAGGATGGTAGACAAGGCAATTGAAGTATTAGATGAGATGCCCAAGTATGGATGTGAACCTGATGAGTATGTGTTTGGTTGTTTATTAGATGCATTGTGTAAGAATGGTAGTGTTAAGGAAGCTGCTTCTCTTTTTGAGGACATGAGAGTGAGGTTTAGCCCAAGTTTGAAGCATTTTACTTCTTTGTTGTATGGTTGGTGCAAGGAAGGGAAGTTATTGGAGGCTAAACATGTATTGGTGCAAATGAGAGTAGCAGGGTTTGAGCCGGATATTGTGGTGTATAACAATTTATTAAGTGGGTATGCAATGGCGGGGCAAATGGGGGATGCTTTTGACTTGTTGAAGGAGATGAGGAGGAAGGGGTGCAACCCTAATGCGACTTCTTATACCATTTTGATTCAGGCACTTTGTGGGCAGGAGAAGATGGATGAGGCGATGAGAGTTTTTGTTGAGATGGAGAGAAGTGGTTGCGATGCAGACGTTGTGACTTATACTACTTTAATAAGTGGCTTTTGCAAGTGGGGAATGATTGATAGAGGATATCAGATTTTGCATAGCATGATACAGAAAGGGCATATGCCCAACCAATTGACTTATTTGCATCTAATGTTGGCCCATGAGAAGAAGGAGGAGTTGGAAGAGTGTAAGGAATTGATGGGGGAGATGCAAAAGATTGGTTGCATTCCTGATCTTAGTATTTACAATGTAGTGATTAGGTTGGCCTGCAAGTTGGGGGAGGTGAATGATGGTGTCGATGCTTGGAATGAAATGGAAGCAAGTGGCTTTAGTCCAGGACTTGATACTTTTGTCATCATGATTAATGGGTTTCTAGGGCATAGATGTTTGGTTGAGGCTTGTCAGTATTTCAAAGAAATGGTTGGGAGAGGTCTTTTGTCTAGTCGTCAATATGGAATACTGAAGGATTTATTAAATGCTTTGCTGCGAGATGAGAAGCTTGAATTAGCTAAAGATCTTTGGAGTTGCATTGTGACCAAAGGATGTGAGCTTAATGTGGATTCTTGGACAATTTGGATTCATGCACTATTCTCAAACGGGCATGTGAAGGAGGCATGTTCATATTGTTTGGACATGACGGATGCAGATTTAATGCCAAAACCAGAAACTTTTGCTAAGCTCATGCGTGGTTTAAGGAAATTGTATAACAGACAGTTTGCAGCAGAGATCACGGAGAAGGTGAGGAAGATGGCTGCTGATAGACAGGTGACTTTCAAAATGTATAAACGACGGGGGAGAGGGATTTGAAAGAAAGGGCCAAGGCCAAAAAGGATTTGAGGAAAAGAAGGGCTCGCAGACGCCAGTGGGGTGGGGGTCATAATAGAGCTAGCATTTTGTAGTTTTAATTTTGGGCTGTTATCAAGTAACTGAATTGCTTGTATTAGATTGCTTTTGAGCCAGCGTGCCTACTTGCCCTGGTGTGGCATGGAGCTGCTTCACTCATCAAAGTATGCTACTTACCCCTTCTCTGCCTTCGGTTTCTTTTGTGCAGAAGGTAGTAAACCGGTTATGCCATGAGTCCTCTAGTGATTGTTTTGTTAACTATGATTATCTGGATTGCATCTTTTTTCCATGTCTAAACCAAGCATGCATTCCACTAACAAATGGACCCCATCAAATTTTATCTCGTCCAGCACTTCTGTAGAAACATCTTAATTTAAGCTATTTTAAATTGCTGGTTGCTTGTCCCTCATCTCATTTCATTTATATTTTGTCCAGCGTACAAATGAAATAAGCCCCTCTAATATGCTGCTCAAGGAAATGTGGCCGTTGAGAGCGCTCAAACCAGACCAAGACTGGTGAAGAATATGAAGTGTACATTCGTCTATCAGATGTACAAGATGTTGCTTCTGAATTCACTAGGTGATGATGCTCATCTTTTGCATTGAGATTTCATAAGTTGATGAAAACAGTGGTGTGGATGTTTTATCTAGTACTTCGGCCACAGGTGTATAGTGGATTTCATTGCATCTGCAGGCAGTTGAAAAATTATGTCTTTCTTATTGTAAATATTCTGAAGTGGGTACATCCATGTTTGTCGACTCCTTTTTGATCTGAAAGTGTTTAACTATTCTATGCTATTTATGTAATGAGTCCTCTTGTAAATAATTTTACTTGGGAGACATGCCTTAAACATGGACATCTCTTGTTCCTGGTTTTGCTAATACAAGCCTGGGGAGTCTGATTCACAACTGCAGTAATTTCTGATGCTTTTGTAGCTACAGTTGTGAAGGTTGTTAAGAACGGTTGCAAAGAGGTCCTTAGTCTTTCTTCTCTTGCAGTATATTTAGAAGATTAATTCATGCAGAAATTGCTGTAATCCTCACAAGGCTGTTAAATTTCTTTCCGTTTTTTTTTTCCAAACTAATTTGCATCGTTAATCTGACGCCGTAATGTTTTGCAAATAGACCGAGGAATGAGGCGCTTTCGTTGTTGACTAATAGAGAAGTTCATGCTTGAAAAATTTAGAGATGGGCTGTGCTCAATTTTTATGACCAAAATTTGGGCCACTAGGAATAGCAAGAAATCTTTGTTTGGGCTTCAGTCGATAGTAAACTTAATAAGATAATCTACCTATGGGCAAAGTTCGGATTCCATTCAATAGATGATTGAACCATACTCGCATCGTAATATAAAAAAGGCAAAAAAGATGAAGAATTTTTGGATGACTAAAAGCCCAAAATTGGCCTATCAATTGGATTAGTTTGGTACATTTGATATCTTGAGTGATCCTTGCATTATGTGGTTTCTTGTGCTTTTCTTTAGTTTGACACATCATGAGGAAGGCCATCCATAGGAAGTATCCCCTAGTTCGGTGGCCAGTATTCAAGCAATTCTTTGCATAATCATATGAGGTTTGGCTTGTTTTCAGTGCCTTTCTGTTAACAACTTTCCCAATGTGATGGGTTTTACAGATTTATGGATAGATTTGACACTTTCCAGAGTTTGGTGCTTCTCAGGAAGCGCTCAATATCTCCTTTCTCTAGTCAAGTCAGCATATCTTTACATCATCTCCACTGCATTCTCTTACTGATTAGTGCATATGCAGTCAACAATTTTTTGCCATTGCAAAAGTCACGGTTTCTTACTCAAATGTATTTCCCTTTTCCAGGATGCATGGCTTTTCTATTGATCGTGGAACTGCAGAAAGGAGACAGACTATCCATATTGCTGTCGTCCAAACCATTTCGTGTTCATGACCGACGTCTCTCGATCAGGTGATGGAAGTGCGCAATTACCATATACCAATATAATAATGACTCTTCAATTATTATTATTATTAGTATCTTTTTTTTTTTTTTTTCATATTCTGGTCATCTTTACTCATTAAGTTGAATTCAGTGACAATAAGAAAAATTCTCGTAAATACATATGCCGTTACTCTTGGAGACTATCTATGCAGATGTTACGCAAATATTTATGGAGGCAGGTGATGTGATCAAATTCTCTCCAATTAAATTATGCTTTTGGTGCACTGCAGAGTCTTGTATATTTATGACAAAGTTAATCTATTCCGAATTCTCCTGATTCCTGCTTTTCTCTTACACTTCTCAGAATTACCCTTGATGGTATTATCAGAAAATTTCCTTGATCGAGGGAAGTCAAACTATCCTTACTTCCTTACTGCTGTCAGGATAAATGGTTCTCAGAAAAGTTTGCTTTGCACTGGATGGTATTCAAGTTACTGATGATGCCCATCTTGCTGATCCGTCTCCTCAAAAATCCACTCCAGCATGCATAAATTGGGAGGGATCCGAAATGTTCAATTAATAACTAGGAGTTTAGCACTGCTCCTTCGTGACATTTCGGGTGCTATTATCCCAATACCACTTCTTTCTTGGGAGAGCCTTGGAAGTGAGTATCATCAATTTGCAGCACTTCTAAGAGATCTCCCTTGTTCTCTCCTTGCGGATTGATAAACGGAACGAACACAGTATTCACAGATTAGTGTTGCTTCTCACATCGGCCATGTCTTGTTGCAAGAGTGAAGCTAGGATTTTAGCGAGCTGTGTATTGAAGCAGGCAACAGGATAAAGAGCCGTACAATACCACGAGATGGTGATGTCGCAAATATAATTTCTTATGGCTAAGCTCCTCCAAGTTTGTTTGATGTGGATGCTCTGCACACACATAAGCAGCGAAAACTGATCTTCCCAAAATCCCATGCTTCACTTACCAAGCTATAAGTAGCGACTATAACCAATACAAGTCCAATTATTACCAACAGTTGCTCTTTTAATCGACATAGCATCCACCAACCAGAGGCAGTTAACACATGGTTAAAACCTGACCAGCAACATCGATATACAGTACTGAAAAATCAAAGCAAAAGAAAAAAAATACTGGAAATTTATGTAAAGTTCCTAAGCCAGGAGGTAAAACTTGGCAGTGATACATATATGATATTTGATGCCCAAGGTTGTTATCATTGCTATGAATTCTCTGTTACAATGAAAACGAATCAGAAAGACAAGATTCACATAAAAACTACATTAAAAATCTCATATCTAGCCAAACGATTTTGACATTCAAGGCATCCCCCAAAGTTGATAAACAAAACTGGTGGTCAAAGAACCATAACCCGTAAAGTTAAAAGTTCATCTAACCATCTCCCTTGCACACGATTTAATATACAGACTAGTAAAAAGCAGCCAATGTAAGATTTTGCATCAGGTCCTCTTGATCTTTGAAAACGTTCCATTCTCAGAAAAGTAGGTGCTTTGTGTTCCACCGCCAAGTTGGTGTGCATGAGCTTGCGGATTTGTGAGTTCAATCCCCTGTCAAGATAGGATGACCATTTTCATAAGCACTAAGCAGAAGAATACAAGGAATAAAAATCGAAAAACACATCAAAAGAATGAGCAACTTATCCACTATTTTATGAGCTTAGTCCTGTTAGGTAAAGCCTCTTTTCAGATTCATTGACATCTGGTAAAGCATAACTTAAGAATTTCTAGTAGTGAAAAGTTCAAAAGGCATAGCAGAAAATTTTCCTGGCAATTTTTTATTGAATAAGACTATGAGGAAACCTCAACGTTGGATGCAGAATGAAACATGTTTCACTGTTATGTTATGGTTTATGAGGATGTGAAATTCAAACAGTTTTTCTGAATACTCTAGATTCTTTAATTCTTTGATATAGGTAGATTCGACCTTAACCCAATACCCTATCACCACAAGAACCTAATGCCCAGAAAAAAATACGATGACTGTTTACACTTGGCAAGAGGACAAGTGAATACCATACAATATCCAATCTAAGAAGCAATGTTCTGAAAACCACAGCTTCATCACCTAACTACTCTATGAAACAGCAATGGATTTCAAAGGCAAATCTGGCCACAAATATTACACAGGATCAACATGAAAGTATAATTTCTACTTCTAAAATGCTACAAAACTTGATTTTTAAGTTTTATTTTGGGATCAAGTCAAAGCCATATATTGCTTGATGATTATAAGCAGTTCAACCTCATATTGAAACTTAGTGGAGCGAATTCACTATGTCAACTCATAACATCTTATATTAGACAGGTATTCCAAGAACTTAAAACCCAGAAACTACTGCACAAGATCTGTAAGGTCAACTATCACGTTTGCGGTAAGTTTGGGTATTAAATTCGCAAAGAGTCTGAGCTAAACACACTTTTGTTCCCTTAGTAAATCTTTGTCATCAGTACCAGCATCATCAGCTTGGAAGTAAGAAAAAATTACTACAAACCTGAACAGGCGTAAATGCCAGACTTGAGGTGAGGCCAGAAGTAGCACCACTGCTTCCATACTGCTTCTCCTTGAATCTAAAAACAACAAGGCCATGAATGGTTGAGACAGAATGCAAAAAAGTCAACCAATTTTAGTTCCATGCTACAGTTTAAAAATTAGAGAACTTTAAAACTATAAAATTGCAGCTTTACTGGAAAAAGAATAAAATTTAAAATAAGGAACAGGGCTTACTTCTTAGCAACTTTTGCTGCGAGTTTGCTCTGACCAACTGATACACGCAGCTTGCCATTCCCAGCCTGGCCAAGCATACCATAACCTTCCCCCAGTCCATCACCTTAATGTCAAGAAGAATTTGCAAACCATAAGAAAAAAATTTAAATAAAAAATTTAGACCTATAACAATGGACATAAAAAGAAAAGCTTTCTAATATTCACAACTATTTCTGAATCTCAACAAGCTAAGGAGATGAATATACCCAAAGAACTCTCTTCAGGCACTCCAAATTGCATCCTATTCGCAAGCTTCCTCATGTCTGTTATCGCATATCTGGAAAATCGTCCATTATGAGTTACCCAGAATTCAAAGGAAAAAAATGCCTAACAAACATGCAACAATAATAACAATAAAAACCTACACTACCTTTCCTTCATCTTCCTTAGGCGCCGCCCACCTCTCTTTTTCTTAGGCTCAGAATCAGGAACTGGAAGTGGTTTAGGTTGCTTTGCAGGAGGAGGCTCTTGCCACTTCTCAATTTTCTTACGAATCTCTTCTCTAAGGGTCCTTCCAGTGTTTCCTGATGGATCTCCTCTGGTAGAATCTACTCTTGCAGCAAGAGTTGATTTTGCGGCCAAGAGTCGACCAGCCCGCATTCTAAGAGAAGGTGGTGTGGACTGAAACACCTCTGTTTGCTCTATATAACCTACACGGAATTGGGATGTTGCAGTGGAAAACCCTGCAAGGTTCTTCTTCTTGGCACCAAGAAGCTGAACGTTACAGGCGGGCATCTTGGCTAAGGATGTGAGACCACCAGCAGTTCCCATAAGTTTTGCAGCAACAGCACTGCCAACAATAGCAGAAAGATTTGGTGCAATGTAACCCATTCTAGTTTCTACAAAATCAAGGACCTTTTTCTTTGCTGAATCAAGAGCAAGAGCTCGATCACATGCTTCAATAGTCTTTTGAAGCACTTCTTCAGGAAGTGGTTTGCCACTTGTTGTGGATGCAGTCACAGAAATCACCATTCTGATAGCTGCAGGTAAAAGCCCTTCCATATCAACAAGGGTCAAATCCATCTCATTTCCAATCTTCTTCACAACACGAGCATAATCAATTGGGTGATGGACAAGTGATTCAAGCTCTGGAAATTTCAGCCGGTACTTGTCACGAATAAAATTGTGGATAATAACAATTTCATTCTCGATGTCAACTGATAATGCATTGCAGTTCACTATTAGCTGATATTCAGGATCATCTTCCAATACCATTCCATGATCTTGGATATCTGAGCCCTTCTCAAGTGCATCTTCCACTTTCTGCCATTTAAACAACAGAATAACCACAACATCAGGTTTACCGAAAACAGCATCAAATTAAGTTAAATCACAAATGTAGAATTATAAGAATAAGTGATTGATCAAAAAATCTAAAAGAGAGAGAGAGGGAACAATCATGAATTTTATTTCTTACAGAGAAGCCTCCAACAACAAATGAAAGGGAAAAGCAGGAACATCATAAGGCAATAAAACTATGCATAGAATGAACAGACTGGAAGAACCAGCAAGTAAGCAGAGGCAGCCGTAAAAGTAAATATGAATGGATAAAACAATAACCTGCATTATATCATTATATCGTTGTGTTTTCTGCAGTTTTGACACACTGTCCAAATCATCATAATTAAGAGCTTCAATGTCTGCTAAGTCTCCATCGACATCTTCTTCCATGTTTCCTGCTTCAACATCTTCTTCTTCCTATAAAATTATCCAACAAAATTAACAAACAAGCAAACCAGAAGCTTAAATCTTGACTAACAGAATGAAAAATGAAAATAACACACATAGAAAGAGAGATATAAAATTGGTACTTACCACAATATCAGCATCATTGTCCGATAACTCATCAAGGTCTGCTAGGAAAGAATCAGCTAGTGTTGCCTAAAAAAAAAAATTACCCCAAAAAAGGCAGTTAGTAGACAAATACTACAGCCTACATGAATCCCTTCATTTTTTCTTCATTCAGGAATTAATAAATCATCTAATAAAATTAAATAAAGTAAATTCAATAAAAGGCATAGCAGAATTTTTGTTAAAGAAAGAAGTCCCCATACCATTTTTCTGATGTAAACGCCTCGGCCTTAATCCAATACTCAAACCCTTTTTTTTTTTTGGGCTTCAAGTAATCTGGAAAAAACAAAACCAGAAACAGAAACAGAAATTAATTGCTCAAAAGATAGGAAAAGAAAAGTTGCCGCTATGAAACAAGTGAGAGCCATGAGGCGGTAACAGCGGTCATTAAAATATAAACATGAAAATAGCAAGCAACATATAAAATTTTGAAATTGCAAAGAACAAAACTGATCAAATCTCGTTCTCTTCGATACCCGGTGATTTGATTCCAACAGCAGTGATTGTAGAGAGAGAAAACCCTAGTTTTGCAGTAAAAGACAAGCAAAAGAAATAGAAAGGAAATTCAAAATCAGTGGAGTACTTACCCGGGTTGTTGTTACTCTTTTTCTTATGCTTGGATGATAAAATAAAATAAACTGGGGAAAGAATTTGGAGTTTGGGCTTATTTTTCATTTTAGGAAGAAGATAAATATTGAAAGGGAGAACCGACAAACGCTCAAGCATCGTCCTGGCTCGTGTTGGCGCAGATAGAAATCGGGCCGAAAGCCCAATTATGAGATCTGTAGCTCAGGCCCATTTGAGTAATATTTGGATCAGCACCTAAATAATCTGCAAAATGGGCAGAGTCTTGTTCCATCTAGACTCGTTTATGGACTTGACAGTTTTTACTTTTCAACTATTAATTATTTCGTCACATCGATTTTTTTTTAAAAAAAAATTGCATTTGAACATTTTTTTATAAAATAAATTTATTTTAATTTATTTTAATAAAATACATTACTTAAATTTTTAACTAAAAAAATATTTTTGGACAAATATAAATAAAAAAAATAAACGATTTTTGTGGGAC